GGGTGACGTGGAGTGGCACTCTGCTGGTCGCCCTCCTGCCTTGCTGACGTCACAACCCGACAGGTGAGGGGAGAGGGGCGAGTGCGAAGAGAGGAGAGGGGTTAGATGGGTAAGGGGGGTGAGAGGGATGGGAGGGGGGAGAGGGATGGGAGGGGGAGAGGGATGAGGGTTCGGGATTGAGGGGGGTGAGGGGTGTGGCAGCGGTTGGAACCTCAGAGCTGTCAGTGCTGCTGGTGTTGGTCAGTCTTCCATTCCACAGCACACGATGGTCACCTCCTTCGTTCCTTCTTTGGTTTGCGGTACTCATGACTTTTTGGCGCATGGCATGCCTGCCTTCCTATCTGCTTCCTCCCTCCTATCGCCACTCGCCTCTCTCCTCCTCAGTGCTTTCGGCCCTCACCCCCTCACCTCCACGTGCCCTCGCTTCATTCGTCTCCATCTGACCCTTCCTGCCATGCCACCACCTCTTTCTCACCTCTTTCTCATACACCAAACAACCTGGGGGCTCTCAGCTTAACCCTTCCGCCCATTTTTTCCCGTTTTCCTGCGGACTCTCTGCTGGTTCCACCCTTCTTCCCAGTTCCCCCCCTTCCTTGTGCCCTTCCCCTCTGCTCGTCTCGATGCATCTATTCCCCCTTTCTGAGTCCGTCTCCTCCCTCTCCTTTTTCCTCCTTCCCCCTCGTCCCCCCAGCCTTTCTGTCACTCAGTCTTGCAATCCAGCCCGTACCTGCCCCCTCTCCCGCATACTGTCTCCTTACCCTCCACCTCACTACCTGCCCCCGACTACCCCTCTTCATCTTCCCCATTCTCTTCCCTCTTTCTCCCCACTTGCCGCCCCTGCCTGCCCCTCCCACGCAGTCTGGCGCTCTTTCAGCTCATTCGCCCACAACCAGGTGAGCAGCTGTGAATGCCATGACTGCTGTGCGGCTGTGAATTTTGTGCAGCTGTGACTGCTGCTACTTGCAACGTTGCTTGTTGGGTTCGCCTTTGGAAAGAGCACGCTGACCTGTGTGCGGTGAATGGTGCGCCGCTGCCGTGTAGGGCATGCACGTCTGGAAACTAGAAGGCAAGGCATGGGTAGCATAGCATGTCAAAGGCATGGCATGGCATGGGCAAGGCATAGAACGTGCCAACTTCCTTTCCCCCCTCCCCTCCCCTCCCCTCCCCTCCCCTCCTCTCCTCTCTTTTCCTCTCTCCTCTCCTCTCCTCTCATCTCCTCTCCTTTCCTCTCCTCTCCTCTCCTCTCCTCTCCTCTCCTCTCCCCTCCTCTCTCCCCCCCTCCCCTCCCCTCCTCTCCTCTCCTCCCCTCTTTTTCCACCCCTCTCCTCACCTCCCCTCTTCTCTCCTCTCCCTCCCTCCGCCCTTTTCTCCTCCTTCCTATGGACACCCCACCCTCCCCCTCCTTGTGTGCAGAGCTGCTGCTGCTGGGCACGGGGCAGCGCATGCAGGCAGTACCAGGGAGCTTCTGAGGCGCCTCAAAAGGCCTCACCCCTCTCTCCCATTCCCCACCACGTCACCGCCCCCTCCCTCGCTATGCAGAGCTACTGCTGCTGGGCACGGGGCAGCGCATGCAGGCAGTGCCGGGGGAACTGAGGGAGTTCGTGAGGGCGTGTGGCATGGAGCTCGAAGTGCTCTCCACTGAGAGTGCTGTGCGCCCAGTCAGTGCTGCATGTCCGGTAAATGCCTCTGGTACAGCTGGTGATGCTGGTAACACTCGAGGTGCTGCTGGTGCTGGCAGTGCGGTGCAGCACCAGGGGAACTGAGGGAGTTTGTGAGGGCGTGTGGCATGAAGCTCCAAGTGCTCTCCACTGTGAGTGCATCTGCTACTGCTGCTGCTGTTGCTGGTCTTGAAAGTGGTGGTGCTGTTGCTGGTCTTGAAAGTGCTGCTGCTGCTGCTGGTCTTGAAAGTGGTGCTGCTGCTGCTGGTCTTGAAAGTGGTGATGCTGCTCCTGGTCTTGAAAGTGGTGCTGCTGCTGCTGGTCTTGAAAGTGGTGCTGCTGCTGCTGGTCTTAAAAGTGGTGGTGCTGCTGCTGGTCTTGAAAGTGGTGCTGCTGCTGCTGGTCTTGACAGTGGTGCTGCTGTTGCTGGTCTTGAAAGTGGTGCTGCTGTTGCTGGTCTTGAAAGTGGTGCTGCTGTTGCTGGTGATCCTGATTGAGCCCCCAAAACTGCATGTTACATCGACTCACTCACCTGTCCTTCCTCCCATGTGCCCCCCACAAGCGCCACGCCGTAGCCTCGCTGGGCTCAGCTCAACGGCAAGGTCCATGCCATGGCAACACACACCCTCTCACCAACGACACGCCATAGCAACACAATCCTTTTCCTTCCTCCAATTCCCCCTTCCTACCCCCCCCCCCCCCACCACCCACCAGCGCCACGCCGTAGCCACACTGGGCTCAGCTCAACGGCAAGGTCCATGCAATGGCAACACACACGCCCCTACCCTTTTCCTTCCTCCGGTATTCCCCCTTCCTTCTCCTCCCCACCAGCGCCACGCCATAGCAACACTGAACGAGCTCAACGAGGAGGGCCAGTCCGTCGCTTCCGCGCTGTCACGTTTGAGAATTCTCAACGAGGGAGGAAGTCACTGTTGAGAATTCTCAAACGTGACCCTCCTTCCCCCTCCACGCCCCACCCCTCCCCACTTTCCCTCTTCAGCTCCTTCCTCCTGAAGGAGGAGGGCCATGCTATACCCACAGTTCCATCCCTTTCCTTTCCCCGATCCTTTCCCCATCCCCCCCCGACACCAGCGCCACGCCATAGCCACACTCAACGTGCTCAACGAGGAGGGCCGGTCCGTTGCTGCTGCTCTGCTGCTGCCCTCTGCCTGACCTCACGCCCTCTTGCCCTCCTCACGGCCTCCATCTCTACACCCACACCACACCCTCCTCGATATGATGCGTGATAGCAGCATGCTGCCTGGATCACGACGATGTGCATGGATGTGAAGGTGTGCCTCTGCTCAGGGTTTAGCTGTCTGTCAAATGTTGTAGCCTATAGTGAGGTTTGTCTTAGGGGGTACAAAACTTAGGGTTAGCTATATGTACCCCAACCAACATCAATGCATCATCCATTTCTCATTTTGACATGGTTTCAGAGCTGGTTCTTTCCTAGAACCTTCATTTTTTTTTTTCAGAAACATGGGCCCGCCCTTAATGCAGCGCGAAATGCGCTATTTTCTTCGTCCCGTCGCGCCCTGCGCCCGTCTGATTCGTCGCCCCGCGGCCCCTGATTCGTCGCCCCGCGGCCCCCCATTTCGTCGCCCCGCGGCCCCCGATTCGTCGCCCCGCGGCCCCCCCCCGTTTCGTCGCCCCGCGGCCACCCGTTTCGACGCGCCGGGGCCCCCCGTTTCGTCGCCGCGGACGCCAGCGCCGACGGGCGCCAGCACCAGCATGGACGCCAGCGCCCGCGCCAGCCCGGACCGCAGGCGCCAGCGCGAGCGTGGCCCGTCAGCGCGGACGCCAGCACCGCGGCCAGCCGCCCGCGCCTACGCACCAGCCAGCGCCACCGCCAGCGCCAGCAGCAACTACCGCCGCCCCGTCCCCCCCCCCCCCTCCCCCCCCGCCCGCCCTCCCTTCCGCTGCTTCCGTCGTGGGGGGGGAGGAGGGGGAGATGTGTGGGTGGCGTGTGTGAGCTGCCTGCAGCCCGTCCCTCCCCTCTCTCTTACTGCAGGGATTGTCGCCGTAGAGAAAGGGGGGGGGGGGAGAGAAGTGCAGAAGGGTGAGGGGGTGGTGATAGTGAAGCTGACTGGAGTGTGAGGGTGAGCATTGGGGTGGCGAAGTACCTAGCGGTAAGAGTCCCCGTCAACACACACCCCTGTTCACTGGACAGCAGCTGTGAGGGTGGCGAAGTACCTAGCGACGACATCAGGCGTGGGGCTAGTTCTTGGAGGGCAGCAGTCTGTCGTACTTACTGGTCACTGTGACTCCTCTTATGCTGACGACGCTGAGACTCACAGGTCTACTCAGGGGTACTGTTTCAGCCTGGGTTCTGGAGCTGTTTCCTGGCGGTCCACGCGCTCCTCTTCGGTCTCGACCTCTACAGCTGAGGCTGAGATCTACGCTGGTGCCATGGCGGCACAGGAGCTGCGTTGGTTGACCTTCTTGCTCACCGACCTTGGTGAGCGGCCGAGCTCTGCACCGACCTTGTTCACTGACAACAAGGCGTCTATTCTCCTTTGTCGAGAGCCACGACTGGAGAGCAGAGTGAAGCACATTCACGTCAGGTACTTTCTTCTGCGAGAGTTGCAGAGGCGTGGACAGGCTCGCTTTGAGTTTGTGGAGTCCGAGGCCAACACTGCAGACATCTTCACCAAGGCGCTTCCGCCTTGTGACCACCAGAGGTGCTGTGTGCAGTTAGGCCTTGTTGACACTGGTTCTCGTGTTGCTTAGACTTGAGTGTACTGTTTACTTTGCTTTCTATATATCTCTGTTACTTCTTGGACTGGCCTTGTGGCCACTGTTGTTTGTGCTCAGACTGTGTGGTGACGTTGTGATCCACCCTGAGCTTCGTTTCTTGGACTGGTCTTGTGACCGTACTCGTTTGGTTCTGCTAGACACCCCTCACTTAGGCTATGGGGGTGTGTCAAATGTTGTAGCCTATAGTGAGGTTTGTCTTAGGGGGTACAAAACTTAGGGTTAGCTATATGTACCCCAACCAACATCAATGCATCATCCATTTCTCATTCTGATACTGTCGTGACGCTGACCCTGTCAATTGGCAAATTGTATGCAGAGCTGGGTATGTACACTACAGAAACAACGCTGTACACTAATCTGTAACAATGCAAGGTATCCATATCGTTGTATGTATGAAACGGGACCTGCGGTAGTTGAAATCCTGTAGCTTATTTTGAAAAACATATCATAACATGAATCATGCAGTTGTTTGCATATGCTACCATGTCCAAAACCTCATGCAATTCCTTAATCAGAATGTGCTAGTTAAACCAAACAAACTTGCAAGTGACCTATTTCTGGCAGCAATGTATGGTAGAAGCATCACTTCTGCTGGTACTGCAGCACGTACACCTGGTCCTCCTCAGCACAGTACCCCTCCACCAGCTTCCTGTTCACGTGATGCATCTCCTCCCTCATATTCTTGGGCCGCTTCTCCTCCTCTTCTTCATCCCACACCCCGCTCTTAGCCTGCCTCACATGCTCCAGCGGCCCATTGCTCAAAGGCACCCCTTTCCTCTCCCAGTAGAAGGAGCGGTCCACCACACAGTAGAGCGCCAGGGCGGGGTAGTCCTGCCGCAGTGCAGCCAGAGTGGGTGCATTACACGCCTTGCGGGTGGGGAAGAAGAGGAACTGCAGATTTGGAGCGCGGATGGACGGTGGCTTGAAGACGGCCTTCAGCAACCGCTCCCGTTCCCTTATCTTGGCGTTTATGGCTGGACCATACATTTCCAAAAACTGCCGGTCATAGTCATCACCACCAAAACCACCAACACCATAAACACCACCATATTCATCATCATCATCAGCATCATCATCATCAGCATCATCAGCATCATCCTCATCATCAGCAGCATCATCAAACAAATAGTCATCCTCATCCACTTCCTCATCTGGCTCTTCGCTAAAATAACCCGGGTCATCGGCCCAAGAAAACCGCAACCTGCCATCGTCTAAATGCTCCTCACACTCACCACCATCTGTGCCCATTCCCATACTCTGGTTGTTTCCACGGGCATCCCTGTCCCATGGGGGCACGACAATCCCAAGGCTCCGCAGCATCCCCCACTCTGCATCGACCTTCTTTATAGGCACCTCGTGCCTCACTATAAGCACCTCCACTGTTGGCGCTATAATGCCAAGCCATTCGGTCCAGGAGAAACCCTCTTGGTCATTGGCAGGTCCGTCCAAGTAGACAACCCGGGCGGATGCGAGGCGAAGGGAGGAGATGTCGAGGCGCTCCTGGCAGTACAGCGAGAGGTGGTCGAGAGCGAGAGGGGCAGTGCTCTTGCAGGAAAGGACCAGCCGTTTGGCCACAACTGAGAGAGTCTTGAGTTCTGCTGGGGAGATAGAGAGGGTGAGGTGAAGCTCAGTTCTGGCAAAGCGAAAACGGAGGAGGCGGGCGTTGGGGAGGGAGAAGGCGAGGCGGCTGGTGGAGGGCACGCGGGGATGTTCACGAAGCACGTTGCCATCCTCATAGAGCGTGAACTCGTGCAGCTGCGGCGTGATGGACTGGAGAAGCTGGAAGCTCAGACTCCCGAAATCCACCTGCTGCAGCGTCAGCTTGCGAATCGACTTGAGCCATGCCGCTTTGACACCAACACACTGCCTGTTGAGTTTCCACATGCCCCGTCCCAGGTTCAGCTCCTGCAGCTGGGCGCATTCACTCAGAAAACCCAGCGACCAGCACGGCCTTGCGACTCCAGGCGGAGGGATGTGAGGGTGGGGCTGCTGCGAGCGATGCAGGCACCGAGAGTGGGGAGATGCTCGGGGGGAGAGAAGCGGAGGTGAAGGGAGTGGAGGCCCGGGCGGGTGAGAAAAAAGCGGACGGTCTGTGACCAGTGGGGGTTCTGGTCGTCGTACACGAGTGAGATGGGGTGGCTCTCCTGTGATTGTAAGTGGGTGGGGTGGGAGAGCGTGGAGGAGTTCAGATTTGAGACAGCTGAGGTGTGGAGGTTGTTAACAGGACACACCTGGGCCTCACCGTCTCCAGCACAAGCAGCCAGTGCAAGAATTTTAGGTTCTTGTTGCTAACAGCAAGGGGAAGCGTTGTCCACCCGCATACAAGGAAAGGTGAAAGTCAAGTGAAAGCTAAGGGCTGAAGGCTGAAATTGGAAATGAACTCAGAAAGCTGAAATGAAACATTTAATCTGGAATGAAATCTATAATCTGAAATGAAATCTGAAAGCAAAAATGAAATCTGAAAGCAAAATTGAAATCTGAAAGCGGAAAAGAAACCTGAAAGCTGAGATGAAATTAAACAGCAGAAATGAAATAAAAGAGCTGAAAGCCTGAAATGAGAGCTGAAAGGAAAGCTGAAAGCTGAAACGAAGACTGAAAGCCTGAAAAGAAAGCTGAAATGATTCTGAAAGATGGAACAAAATTTGCTGAAAGCTGAAATGCACTCTGAAAGTTGAAATGAAATTTGAAAGCTAAAGAAAAATTTGAAAGCTGTGACAAGAGCTGAAACTGAAATTGAAGCTCAAAGCTGAAATAAAATCTGTAAGTTTAAAATAGATCTCAAAGCTGAAATGAAACTCAAAGCTGAAAGCTGAAATGAAACCTGAAAGCTGACAAAGAGGCTGAAAGCTGGTATGAAATGTGAAAGCTGAAAAGAACGCTGAAAGCTGAAACGAGAGCTGCATTCAATTGAAACCTGAAAGCTGAAATGACGGCTGAAAGCTGACATGAAAGCTGGAAGATGAAATGGAAGTACAAACTAAAATGAATGCTGGAGGCTAAGATTAACATGTGCACTGAGAAGGTGTAGTCAAGCTGGAAGGCTCTGTGGATGAGAAAGTGGGAATGGAAATCTGTGAAGGCAAAACAGGAGTTGAGAGGGCTTACAGAAAAAGCTACGACGAGATTGAGAAGCCTCTTGCTGGCGAGAGCGCAGCAGAGCAGAGCACATGATGCGCCATAGATGTCAACGTTTTCCTTGTGCTGTTCACTGTGTCGCGTTATTAACACTTAGCTGGCAACTAAGTGTGAATACCACAGCAGCCAAGGTGAGGGTGTACTATAGTTTACCGCTTTTGTACTCTAATTTCATTTGTGTGCTTGGAATGTATTGTACTGTACTGCAGAGCCGAGTAGCTGGGGAATTTGAGGTGGTTAGTGGGAGGCGAATTCAAGGAGGTTGGTGGAGGCGAATTCAATTCCAGCCTGTGAATTCAATTTCGAAGTCACAAGGCTGGCAGGCGAATTCAATGCCAGCCTGGGAATTCAATTCGAAATTACCAGGCTGGAAGGCGGTGCATGCCTAGTGGGCCCAGTGGGAACACAGCTAGCACCTTGGAGACCTCGCGAGCAGCTCGGCTGACTCGCTTGGTGCACAGGAGCTTGCTTGCGGAGGAAGCAACCTAGGCAGGGAGTGAGCTGTGATGGGGCACAGTTGGGGGCACGCTGTCACAGGGTGCGTCAGTACTGGCAAAACGTCTTACCAGACGGGGAACTGAGGGCAAGATTAGCAAGAGTGGAGAGGGACGAAAGCAGGATAGTGGAGGATATTCTAGAACCTGGGAGAGTGGCGGCACCAGTGGTAAAACCAGATCATCCGCGGCAGTACCAGTGCAACCGGGTGGGGGAAGCTCGCAGGGCTTGGCCTACATTAGTGGCATACACCAGGGCTCAAGGTTTCATCGAGGTGAACGGAATACCAGGACCAGGAATGGTGTACGATCACCGGAAGAAGAAGTGGGAGGAACCGACGGCTTTGGAGCGGGAGTTAGCCATGGGATACCTGCTAGGAGCAACCGCAGCAGAAGGGGTAGAGGAAGGAGTGCGTAGAGCAGCTTTGGGAAGAGCCATAGATCAGCACTCGCTGAGATGGCTAATCAAGGAGATGAGGAAGGGGGCAGCTGATAAGGGAGGAGGGACCGGAAAGGGGCAAGGACGGGGTGATAAGCAGGCGGCATATGCAGCTGTGGGGCAGGGCACGGGCGGAAAGGAGAGCGTTGCGGCACCAGCAGGGGGCAAAGAAGCGGAGCAGGGTAGGGAATGGGAGCTAGGTGCAGACATCGGGGGGCAGACGGCGGAAGCAATCAGGGAGGTGCTGCGGCAGCACAGGAACACTTTCGCATATAACCTGCAGGAATTGGGGAGGTACAAAGGAAGGGAGCTGGAGCTGAACCTCACCACAGAGATCCCCACTTACCAACGACGAAGGAGGATGAATGCAGAAGATGCGGCTATCTGCAAGGAGAAGTGTGAGGAGCTGCTAGCAGCAGGGATCATCCGCCCGTCCGAGTCAAGCTACGCAGCAGCCAAAGTGGTAGCTGCCAGGAAGGATATCACGGGTAAGGTGCTGGCGAAAAGGATGTGTGGAGATTTTCGGGAGCTGAACAAGATTACCAGCCCGGACAGGTACCCCATGCCAACTGCAGAAGACATCTTTGATCGCTTAGAAGGCGCCATCATCTTCACCACCTTGGACCTGCGACAGGGGCTCAACCAAATAGCCATTAGGGAGGAAGACAAACGGAAGACGGCGTTTCACGGGGTGGATGGGCTGTATGAGTACAATGTGATGCCCTTCGGGATACGCAACGCCCCTGCAGTGTTCCAGCGGGCCATGGATCAGGTGCTGAAGGGGATTCCAGCAGCAGCCTGCTACATAGATGATATACTGATTTTCAGCAGCAGTGAAGAGCAGCACGTGCAAGATCTGAAGCGAACGCTAGATGCTATAGCAGCTGCGGGTCTGACGTGCCATCCAGACAAGTGCAAGATAGCAAGGCAGACCGTGGCTTACCTGGGCTTTGAAGTGAAAGGGGGCCGGCTGGCGATACAGGAAGCAAAGGTTAAGGTGCTGGAGAACCTGGCAGCACCAAAGGACAAGACCAGGCTGCGGGCGTTACTCGGCTTCCTGAATTATTACAGAAAGTTTGTACCGAACTTCAGCCGCCGAGCCTACGTACTGAATCAGCTGCTGAAGGAAGGGAGGAGCTGGTAGTGGGGAGAGCTGGAGGAAACGGCAAGGCAGGACCTGTTGGAAGCAGTACGAACGGGAACGCTGCTGCAGATACCGAGGGCAGATGCCCCTTTCATCTTATACACCGACTGGAGCAGCACAGGAATGGGGGCAGTGCTCTGCCAAGAGATGGAGGGAGAGGAGAGAGTGGTAGCCTTCGCCAGCCGCAGCTGCAGCCCATCAGAGGCTAATTATTGCTCTTACGAGGGGGAGGGCCTGACAGCTGTATGGGGGATCACTCATTTCAAGGTGTACCTGCAGGGTCGGCACTTCACTCTTGTGACTGATCACCAGCCGTTGTTGTGGTTGATGACTCATCAGGAGTTGACTGGAAGAAACGCTCGCTGGGCTATTAAGCTGCTGGGATTCGACTTTGAGATACGACATCGACCAGGGAAAACGCTGCAGCACGCAGATGGGTTATCAAGGAATCCGCCACCGATGCAGCCGGTAGCGCAGCTGGCAGCCCTGGCACAAGTAGCAGCGGTACCCTGGGGGCAGGAGAAAGGAAAGAAGCGGTTAGGGGATATATGGGAGGATGAGGAGACCCTGAGCTGGATCAAAGGGGAGCCATTAGAAGAGGAAGGAGTGAGCGAGAGAGCCAGGGCCCGAGGGCAGCATTTCAGGTGGTTTCAGGAACAGCTGCAGCTGAGAACCAACGAAGGGTGGAAGGTGGTGCCACAACCACAGGAGAGAGCCAAGATTATGGGGAATGTGCACGCGAAGCTGGGGCACTACGGCATAACCAGAACGCGGCAGCTGCTGAGCACCATGTACTGGTGGGCGAGAATGGGAAAGGATGTGGCAGGATTAGTGGCGAGCTGCGAGGCATGTCAGAGGAATAAAGCAAGGCTGGAGAAAGAGAGAGATGAGCTGCATTCTTTACCAATTCGCGGGTTGGGCTACAGGTGGTCGTTAGACCTCGCGGGAGAGCTGCCGCTGTCGAAAGGAGGGAAGCAGTACATTCTGGTGATGGTTGAGCACACGAGTAAATGGGTGGAGGCGCGGGCGTTACCAAGCAAGAACAGCGCACTGATAGCTGACGCTTTTGAGGAGCTGGTGCTCACCAGGTATGGGGCATGCGGGGAGGTACTCACTGATCAAGGGACAGAGTTTCAGGGGAGCTTTGACGAGCTGCTAGAAGAGTTGGGTATCACGCACAGGGTCACCTCTAGGTACCATCCTCAATCGGACGGACTGACCGAGAGGCTCATACAGACCTTGAAGAAAGGACTTCGGGCCTACAATGAGTCCCACAAAAGGAGCTGGGACCGAGATCTCTGGTGGGTGCTGGCGGGGTACAGGTTCGCAAAGCAGGCGGCTCTGAGAAACCTATCCCCATACCACTTACTGTTCGGGCGGGATCCTGTGCTGCTGGTCGATGCACCGAAGCTGCTTTCTGCGGTTGTAGAGGCCGTTGAGCCAAACCTGTGGGCGGAGTTAGCACAGCGGAGGGCAAAATACTTGAAGGAGCTGACTCCGGCAGCCCTGGATAACCTCCATGTGGCGCAGCTGCGGGACGCAAGACGATACCAGCAGCGTAAAGCATCAGGGATAGGAGGAAAGGGTGACAAGGTGGAGGCAGGGCAAGAGGTATACCTTCGCAAAGCTAAGCGCGACACGCTGGACTTAGCGGTGGGATCGGAGCGGTGGAAGGTAAAAGAGGTACGAGGCTCGGGAGTGTTAGTGCTGGAAGATATTCGAAGGGGAACCATCAAGGAACACATCACCAACGTGGCCAGGGCGGGACAGGGGAAGCCTCAGGCAGTGGGTCCCGTGACTCAAGCGGCAAAGATGGGCGCTGAGACACGGGAGGGGGCAGGGAAGCCTGAGGCACCAGGAGGAGTGCAGGACAGAGTGATTACATACGCCAGGAGGAAGAAGGGATGAATCTGATCAGCGTAGCGGGTGGCATGGAAGGAAGAAGAGAAGGAGAAATCAGCAGGATACGCAGGGGAGAGAGGGAATGAGGGTGGACAGAGGAAGATTCACGACAGCTGTCGCGTTATTAACACTTAGCTGGCAACTAAGTGTGAATACCACAGCAGCCAAGGTGAGGGTGTACTATAGTTTACCGCTTTTGTACTCTAATTTCATTTGTGTGCTTGGAATGTATTGTACTGTACTGCAGAGCCGAGTAGCTGGGGAATTTGAGGTGGTTAGTGGGAGGCGAATTCAAGGAGGTTGGTGGAGGCGAATTCAATTCCAGCCTGTGAATTCAATTTCGAAGTCACAAGGCTGGCAGGCGAATTCAATGCCAGCCTGGGAATTCAATTCGAAATTACCAGGCTGGAAGGCGGTGCATGCCTAGTGGGCCCAGTGGGAACACAGCTAGCACCTTGGAGACCTCGCGAGCAGCTCGGCTGACTCGCTTGGTGCACAGGAGCTTGCTTGTGGAGGAAGCAACCTAGGCAGGGGGTGGGAATAGATGTAGGCAGGAGTAGCACTCGGGCTTCTTGCTTTTTGCTTGTATGTTTCTCGTTTACTGCAATTTGATTTCCTAATCCACAGGGAGCTAGCAGTAGGAGAAGCTATAAGCAATCTGACGGAGCCCCTGAGGGGGAGTGTTATGCTTGCTACCTGGGAAGCCTGAGGCACCAGGAGGAGTGCAGGACAGAGTGATTACATACGCCAGGAGGAAGAAGGGATGAATCTGATCAGCGTAGCGGGTGGCATGGAAGGAAGAAGAGAAGGAGAAATCAGCAGGATACGCAGGGGAGAGAGGGAATGAGGGTGGACAGAGGAAGATTCACGACAACTGGCTGTGAGGCCCTCTTCCAGAAATACGACTGGCGAGTGATCGCAGTCAACCTTGGTGTTGGTGAGATGGTCGCCGGTTCCGGTTCCCCTCTGCGCGCTGCTTGCAGGGTCGTCCTGCCAGTCCCAGGCAGTGAGCCCTGCGCTGCTTGCAAAGTGTCCTGGCCGGCCAAACTCGGCGTGGAACATCTGGAGAGCGCGCACTGCAGGGCTTACAGGGTGGCCCTGCTGGCCCCAGGCAGTGAGCCCTGCGCTGTTAGCAGGGTCGCCCAACTGGGAAGTAAGCACTGCGCTGCTGTTTGCAAGGAGGCCCTGCGCTTGCCAGGCAGTGACCCCTGTACTGTTTGCAGGGTGACCCAGCTGGGAAGCAAGCCCTGCGCCGCTTGCAGGGTGGCCCAGATGGTCCCAGGCAGTGAGACCTGCGCCGCTTGCAGGGCGGCCCGGCTGGGCAGTGGGCCCTGCACTGCTAGCCGGGTGGCCCTGCGGTTGCCAGGCAGTGAACCCCGCGCTGCTTGAAGGGTCGCCCTGCCGGCCCCAGGCAGTGAGTCCTGCGATGCATGCAGGCTGGCCCAGCGGGCTCCAGAAAGGAAACCCTGCGTTGCTTGTAGGGTGGCCCCGCGGTGGCCAGGCAGTGAACCCAGGGGTGCGGAACCATTCAACCTCACGGGCAGCCAATCGCGCTGCCTTCGCCGCGGGATCCTCAGGGGCTTCCCTTTCAGCGAGGATAGCAGGGTCGTCCGGTTGGAGGGGCGGTTGATGCAGAAGGTGGAAGATTTGAAACCAGATAGGCGCTGGCAGCATGTCGACTGCATCAGTGGAGGTGTTGGCTGCAGCATGAAAGCAAAAAGAAGAAGAAGAGAGGGGGGTCGGGGGGAAAACGGGAAGGAGAAAGAGACAGGCAAGAGGGAGTGGGAATGGAGGGGGACTAAAATGGTTTCCCTTTAGCGTAAATACGAAAGATGGCGAAAAAGGGAGCTCCAACAAGCACGGACCTGAAGCCTCCATCGTCTCAACGAATTTCGGTTAAAGTTATCACGCGAGAGCGGTGAGGGAGAATATCACGTGCTGGCCTTGGCCTTGATGGTGCGACTGGCACTGGAGGAAATGACCGGGAAAGACTAGAGACATTTGCTGCACATATCAGGCAGGACGAGGCACAGGAACGCCGACACTAAGCAAACTTATTAAGGGGAGATCTGCGGAATCCTCAGTGCGCGCCAGTGAGCGCCAGTGAGCGCCAGTGAGCGCCAGTGAGCGTCAGTGAGCGTCAGTGAGCGTCAGTGGGCGTCAGTGAGCGTCAGAGAGCGTCAGAGAGGGTCAGGGAGCGTCAGTGAGCGTCGGCATGATGGCTAAGATTCGGTACCAGTAGTAGCCTTCACTCACTACTTTCACAGTTTGATCAGAACCAAGCAGCCCACTCGAGAGCCCAGCTCAGCCGCTGCAGGAACCACAATACGGACTCATCAGCGGAACTTGTGCAAGATCCCAGGAAAATTAAAGAGTTCCATACCCAGGCAGCCCTCGAAGACTGCTACAGCGTCAGACGCTGGCCGATGATGGTAAGAGTTCCATGCCCTCTGGTGAGCCCTCTCCGTACGTGGCTGGGACCACCACCAGCAAGACACGCACGCAGCCGGGACCACGTATGCCGCAACGGAGCTGTCGATCGATACCCTAGGTTCCTCTGTCGCGTCAGGTTTTGCCACGCTGGTTCAGGACGCATTTCACGTCGAGAATTGCTGCTCGTTGGCTTTGCTGGAAACGGCCCATGCAGCCAGGGTCTGTCGAGCTGGCTCCCGCCAATCTGGCACCGAATCTACCTTCACAGCTGGCGGATTCGAGCGCGAGCGCGGTACTCCAATTTTTTCCTTGTTACTACGAGCACTTGCTTCCACGAACCCCGTTCGTGAACGCTGGCAGCGGGAGGGGAGCGAGCAGGCTCTAGCAAAGGGATGCGAAACAGCGACGCCCCAATTGACGCTGGCGAAACCAGCTATCCGTTAGGCAGTCAATCACACTGGAGTTCCCGAGGAGGGTCCGAAATACTTGTGCGTGAGCGCTCGCTATCGACTAGGATAACCTGGCCTGCTGACAACGGCGTGAATCACGTAATGTGACAGACAGGCATGTTGGAGCTGGAATTCCCTAGGGTCGGAAGTGACGAATGTGTTGCAGACGATTGATTTCGTCCAAATTTTCGCGAAAGCCGCGAGTGTAGCTTGCACCCAACCCAACCCCTTCACTGCCACGTAAACCTACGAGACGACTTTTCGACAAGCGCTGACTGCTCAGAGCGCGTGTGATTGCATCTGGCGGTTGAGCGTGTTTCCACGAGTCACCAGCGCCGCCAGCACACTCTCCTCGCTCCACGCACGCTCGTCCGCCAGAATGAAGGCGAACCAGCAGCGCAAGCCGCCAGGCAGCAACGGCGCCGCGCTGCCGCAGAAGCGCTTCTACCGCGCTCGCGCGCACAGCAACCCGCTCAGCGATAACCTCTTCCCAGTGTAACCACCTCTCCCATCCTCCACCGCCGGATTCAGTATCTGGCACTCACAGCCGTTATATCGAGTCCGTCGCACCGCAACCTAGTGGACGCCCGAGGATTGTCTAGGGGAGCGCGTTGGGACAGAATGTACCAGGGATACAGTGTAGCAAGAAAGGAGCTCTTTGGGGGTAGAATGTAGCGCAGGAAGCGCGATTGCTATGAGCATGGGGTGGGTGGGGGTACAAGAGGGGCTCGTGTTCCCTCCTAGACAAAATCGGTGCGTCCGAATCTGTTGCGCGTCCGAGTTTGCTTTTGAGTCGACTCAAAATCGGTACGTCCGAACCTGTTGCGCGTTCGAGTTCCGTTCCGCGCCTGCACGCGCGCCGTGCAGCAGCAACCGTCGATCTGCATGCCGAATCAAAGCGCTCATTGTGCCTGCGGCATCAAGCCACAGCCTCGTTCTCCTCTCTATCCCCATAACGCCTTGCACGAGCTTGTTTAGGGTTAGGGCCATTCAAGGATTGGTTTGATCTGATCTGGACATTGTCCAGCGTCAGGCCAGTGCCTTGAATGATCCGCGTTACACGAGGCTGCGTTAGGGTTTGAGGAGTGGGCGCATCAACCGCGGTCAGGACCGGCTGAGGGTTGTTGGGCAGTGCTTCGCGCAGAAAGCACAATTAGCTCGCCAGAGGTTCGGGGTGTGGGTTTATGAGGCGGGGTTTTAGCGCTGAGCCTGTGTGCAGCACAGGGACAGCACTCCACCTTCAGTCCTCCACTTGCACTCTCCTTGGCTCCCCTGCTCCCCTTGTCCACTCCTTTCGCGTCATTTTCCCTTTTCCCCTTCCACCACCCCCTCTCCCCCATGTGCCCCACGTGCAGCCCCGTGTGCCCCGCGGAGGTGGACTGGTCCGCGCACTTCCCCGCGTTCTTCCCCCCCACCGCTGCTGCAGCACACCCGCCTGCTGATGGCGCTGCTGCTGCAGTTTCTCGTGCCGCCAATGGTGCAGCTGGTGGCGCTGCTGCTGGCGGAACAGAAGAGGGGGAAGCGCCCGCTTCAGCGGCGCGAGATGGTGCGAATCGAGTGGTGGTGTGGTGACTGAGGGGAGTGACGACGGCCGGGGGAGATAGCTGAGGCAAGGGTGTGGGCTGTGGGTGAGGGCGATGATGAGAGTGCGGGATGGGGAGAGAGGGGTGAGGGTGTTGAGCAGGAATGAAGAGGGAGGGTAGGGATGAGAGTACAAAGTGTGGGCATGTGGGTGCATGAGAGAAGTGTGGTGGGGTAAGAGCTGAAGGAAAGGGCTTTTCATTGATCCTTCTCCCTTTGCTCGTGCATTGCGTGCAGGAGCGGCACAGCAGCATGCCATGACCGCTGTCCCAAGCAGCAGCACGGGGCAACCGATGGTCCGCTTTGCTGATGTCGGGTGTGGCTTCGGTGGCCTGCTAGGTGCGTTGGTGACTTGTGCTGTGGGCCGAGCATGCTGGCCTCATCTCACCACTGCAAGCATCTTCGCCTGCTTCTCCTTTGCTCCTCCCTCCTGCCTTTCTCTCCTCCCTCCTGCCTTTCTCTGTAAAGTGGCAAGTGCACCTCTCCTCTCCATCGCACTGCACCTTCAGGTCATCACACCTCATTTTCGCACCACTCGCCCTCCAATCTCCTACCATCTTCTCCACACTCGCTTGCTCTGTTCTACACCTCCCCCTCCCCCCCTCCCTTCCCCACCTCCCCCCTTCGCCCCTCTCCTCCGCTCCGCTGCCGCTCCCCTCCCCCCGACACCCTGTTTCTCCCGGTTGTTGCAGTGAAGCTGTCTCCATATTCTCCATACTCCCATGCTCTCTTCTCTCCACAACCCCCTCCCCGATTCCCCCTCCCTTGCTCCACCTCCCCCTTCCCCCCCACCCGCTGTGTCTCTCGGTTGTTGCAGTGAAGCTGTCTCCCATGTTTCCAGATACACTCATGGTTGGCTTCGAGCTACGTGACAAAGTACGCCATTCACCTGGCCGCCCGTTGGGTTGCTCACAATTGCCGTAGGCATGATGTTGCGTGTGATCTGTGTGTGTGTGGAAGTTGGGGGTGGGTGAGTTGCGAGTGCATGCGTGCATGTGCGTGTGTGTAAGTGCGTTCCATTATCCTTGCTTGCTCCTCTCACATGCCACCTCCTTCACACTCTACACACTTTCTCCCGTTCTGTCATCTCTTCCCCCCTAACCCCCATGTGAGTGAGTACGTGAGCACTTTTGAGGCGCCTCACCAGTTTTTCCTCACGTGCTGTCATCCCCACCCCCCCACCACCAACAGGTGAGCGAGTACGTGAAGTGAAGGGCCGCATGCAGGCTCTCAGACAGCAGCATCCTGCCTGCTCCCTCCCTCACACTACCGCATTTTCCCCATTCTGCTGCCTTCCCACCGCTGTGATACCCCCATCCCTCCCCAACAGGTGAGCGAGTACGTGAAGGACCGTATACTGGCTCTCAGACAGCAACACCCCTCGCAGGTACGCCCCTCGCAGGTACCCACCAGCCTTTTGAGGATTCTCAAGAGTCATTCTGCCTCTCCCTCCCGTCCCCCATCACCTGCCCATCTATCATTTCCTTTCTCACGTGCTCGCTCGCCGTTCCCTCTTTCCCCAGCTCAAAACGTAACGTATCTCTTCCTCTTTTCCAACTGCTCCCTTGTTCCGCTTGCTCTCAACTTTATTCTTCTCGTTTGCTTGTCTCTCCAATTGTTATTGTCAGGCGCACTCTCACTTCGAGGTACTTAAAACCACCTCCCCTTTCTTTGTTATTGCTTCCCTGCCACCTTTCCTCCTCGTTCTGTGCCCTATTTTCGCTCTCCCTCCTCTCCCCTCTTCCCCCCTCCTATTTTTGCCCTATGTTTCTGTGCCCTCATGGTACACCAAAACCTTCTGACCTCTCTCCCTCTGACCCCAACCCCTCCCCAGCACACCAACATCTCATTGAACCGCACCAACACACATCACAAACCTCCCCAACCACTCTCGTTGAGGCGTCTCATATCTCTCCGCTCTCTCCATCCACCGCGATACGGCACCAACTTGTTGTGACCCCTCTCCCACTCACCCTCTCTTCCCCCCCCCCCACCAGTACACCAACATCTCGTTGATCCGCACTAATGCCATGAAGTATCTTCCCAACTACTTTAACAAGGCACAGGTGGGGTGTGATGGTTGGTTGCGGTGGGTAACAAGGCACAGGTGGGTTGGTGGGGCATAAGTTAAAGGTGGGACACAAACGTATGATACGACATAGCTCCTGACCCGTCTACTTCAACAGCCTCCCTTACGCCACAGGTGTGTGTCTGAATCAGGACTGCAAGGACAAGACGAAACGAGATGAAGCGAGAAAAAGCACAAAAGCTTTGTTGCACTCACTGATTCTCTGACTGCTCGTTGACATACCATCCCACCCAGGCAGCTGACTTATATATTGTCTCCCACCGCATCACGTGGACTTCTTTTCCCTTACCATCCCTGTCCTCCTCAACCGTCTTCTTCTTCAACCCTCCTCCTTCCCCATCCCGCCGCTGTTCTTTCTCCCCCTTCATCCTCACAGCCTTTCATTCCTCACCCTCTCCCCTGCTTCTCTCCTGCAGCTCACCAAGATGTTCTTCCTCTTCCCCGACCCGCACTTGATCGGCTTGTCACTTCATCGCCATGTCTCCTTTCATCTCACCCTTCCCACTGCTTGTCCTGCCTCCTGCAGCTCACCAAGATGTTCTTCCTCTTCCCCGACCCGCACTTCAAGGAGAAGAACCACCGCCGCCGAATCATCACGTGAGTCGCTGCCACTGCCACTGCCACTGCCACTGCCACTGCAAGTAGACACGACGCAATCGCATCGTTTTCCTGCTCTCTGCACGCTGCTTTCATCTCCCAGGGGCTTCCCCAACATCCATGGTGGCATTAATTGGCTCTATCTGGCCACCGCATCCCCCCCCTTTCTCCTTCCATGCACATCTGTCGCTTGCCTGTGCTCTGCGTGCTCATGCAGGCGTGTGTGCATGTAGGCCCACCGCTCATGCCGTCATGCTGGTCCCGAGGAGCAGTGTGTGTGCGTGGTTGGATTGCATGCATGGACTGTGTGCACATGCGTGCTGCTGTGCGTTGCAAGCATGCACGTGCATGCCATGCCATGCGCCTCTGCCTGCGCTCTCCCTTCATTCCTCTCCGCGTCTCTGCCTGCCTGCCTGGCGATGTGTCTCTAATCGCAGGACTGCTCTCTTGGCCGAGTATGCATACGTGCTGGCTCCAGGAGGTGAGTGTTGAACACTGGAACTACTGATTCCAGCTGTCTTACGATGTGGCTGTCAAAGGGCATGGAAGCATGTCTTTGAGTCAGCTTTTTGTTCTCAGAAGCCGGTTTTTGAGGGCCCTGTAAGCATCAAGCCCTCATCCATCCATCCCACGCTTTCCCCTGCTCTCCCTGTGCTGAATCCTCCTTCCCCCCTTCTCCCCAACCTCCAAACTGGTGCACACCCATTTTCATTGATGTAAGCTGTGTGGTTGAATCTGTTTTTTGAGAATTCTAAAAAAACAGATTCAGCCAGTGGTTTCAAACACCTCCGCCGCCCTCCTCCACCCGTCTGTCCCCCCAGCCACTCCCCCGTTCCTCTCCCCCCCCCCCCCCCCCCATTTCACCCGCCGTGCACACCATAACAGGTGTGCACTGCAGCAACTCAGAAGCCGTTTTTCAAGGGCCCTGTGCACACCATTCAATTTGAGTCAACTTGAAAGCACCGTTGTCCCAACCACCCTCAACCTCCCCACTCCCCGCATGCGAGCAGGCATCCTGTACAGCATCACGGACGTGGAGGAATTGGGTGTGTGGATGGGCGTTTGAGTCGACTCACAAGTCATCTCTATACCACTCCCCACATCTTCTTCCCGCTCTCCCCTCCTGGTGCATGCGAGCAGGCATCCTGTACAGCATCACGGACGTGGAGGATTTGGGTGTGTGGATGGACGACCACCTGGTTTGAGTCGACTCAGAAGTCACCTCACCTCTATACCACCCCTCAACTCCACCTCCTCCTCGTGTGTGTAACCAGGCATCCTGTACAGCATCACGGACGTGGAGGAATTGGGTGTGTGGATGGACGACCACCTGGTTTGAGTCGACTCAGAAGTCACCTCACCTCTATACCACCCCCCAACTCCACCTCCTCCTCGTGTGTGTAACCAGGCATCCTGTACAGCATCACGGACGTGGAGGAATTGGGTGTGTGGATGGACGACCACCTCACTGCACACCCGCTCTTCCGCAAGCTCACTCCTGCTCAGATGGTGAGCTGCTGGTTTGGCACGAGAGGAGGGCGTTGCAGGGAGGTGTGGGGAGTGCTATAGTGTAGGTCTTTCCACTGCTATTCTTGAAAACCCACTGTTTGCCCATCCTCGGGCTTTCAAATAGCATCGCACGTCTGTGGATTCACACTTGTGAGCAATAAGGTGGTTCTGAGAGGGGCTGCATCCACGTGTCCGTCAAGCTTGAGTGCCTCTTGAGTGCCTCTTGTGTGCGAGTTCTCCCACATGTCTTTCTCCTGCGCTGTGCTGCACTGTGCCGGTGCTGTTACCAATGCTGCTTTGTGCAATAGCTGCTGGGTCACCCGTCTGGATAGATACAGAAAGGCGCATCCTCTCATGTGTGTCTCTGGCATGCTGTGTCTCTGGCATGCTGTGTCTCTGGCATGCTGTGTATCTGGCATGCTGTGTCTCTGGCATGCTGTGTCCCAAATGGATTCCACAGGAGGCGGACCCAGTCATTCCTCTGCTCTCCACGTCGTCAGAAGAGGGTCTCAAGGTAAGCCGCGTGCCAGTGTGCCTTGTCAGAATTCCAGTCACATCATGCCTCACATCATGCACAGCTCACGTTAGAGCACAGCAGTCAATGCAGTCACTGCGTTCCTTTTCGTTCTGTACTCGCGCATGCAATTCGCTCTGTATTTATATCAATGGCTAGTTTGATTGTTGGTGATTGTTTGTGATTGTTTGCTTCCATCCCCCCTGCTGGTCGCGGTGGCCCGTCCGTCTCACTTCCTGCAGGTGCAAAGAAACGGAGGCCGCACGTTTCTGGCAGTGTATGAGCGGGTTGCTGCTCCTGCAACTAACAAAGCATGAGGAATGTATAATAGATCCACTAGATAACTGCAGGGCTTCATACCGTACCATCCCATCCCAATGATTCTCTTGCTTACCGTAATAAACAATATGGTGGCATCAACAGCTACAACTGCACCACCAACAGTGCCAGCACCACTGCCACTGCTGTGCCACTACATTTCTCTGCCTCCGCTTGCCCTGCTAGATTTGCGGCGTGTGCCTTCTCTAAACACACCAGTGAGCACCACCAGTGAGAAACACACCACCACCACCACCACCACCACCACCACCACCACCACCATAGCACACTAAACGCCAGCAGCAGCACTGTCAGTGCCCTAGCAGCATTCCGGCACAGCATTCTCCGTCTCCGCTTCCCTACCCTTCTCACGGCGCATGCATCCCCCACGTCGACCCACACCAACATCCAACCGACCAATGTAAAACCGCGCCAACTTCTCGCCAGCATGCATGGTCAGCATCGGGATAAGTGCCACCACAACCACCACCATTACCCATACCATCAACACAGGCCTTATCACCTAATCCGCTCCTTCCAAATCTGCGGCTGCTGCTGCAGCTGATGTCGCTGCACCCCTTACTGCTGCTGAAGGGAGAGGGAGAATGCTGAACCCTACAGCTAGCATTGCCGGTCCCCCGCCTTCCCAGCAGCCCGTGCCCGTTCCAAGTGTTCAGCAGAAAATGGAAACCCCTCCGCACCCACTTCCATGATCACATCACGCTCCTCCCTCGTGACGGTCGTGCTTCGAGTCGACTCTGAACCCGACAGCTAGCTTTGCCCCTCCCCTCCCTTCAAAGCAGCCCTCGCCCGTTCCACATGCTCAGCTGAGAACGGAAACCCCTCCGCGCCCACTTCCATGATCACATCGCGCCCCTCTCTTGTTATGGTCGGTGTTGGATGCCTCAACATCGCCTCGTTCCATGCACCCTCCGCTGCTGCCTCTGCTGCTGCAGCAGCTGCGGAGTTATCGAGGAACACTATAGAGGGGATGGCTTTGGACGAAAACCTCTCCACTAACGCGTCTCTGCTCGCCTTATCCGCAAACGGCACGGCCAGCCACGGCACCGCTTTCACCGCCTCGAGAAACTCCCCCTCGTTAGTGTCACACGAGACATACACCACCTCTAGAGCGTGCTTCCCGTGTTTCTCGTGAATTCCGTGATACGCGGACGTCAGTCGTTGCAGCAGCGGCTCGCACGGGGGGCACCAAGCCGCGCCGAAATAGAGCCCCACCACTCGCTTCCCCGCAAGGCTATCCGCGATTCGTTCCTTAGCCAGCGCCGCATCCAACGGCTCTCCTGACTCGCCGCCGCCGCCGCCGCCTACACCGCCGCCGCCTCGCAGCAGCCAATCGCGATCGTTCGTCGCGAGAAGCGCGCCCAGCTGCTGCTCCTTCGCGTCGCGATCCGCTTTCGCCGCCTCCAGCTCCGCGATTCGCGCCGGAGTAAACGGCCACGCGTCGCTGCCGTACGCTTCTAAAACCTCCGCGCCGCGCCTTAACAACGGGCGGCCCGTGCTGTCGAACAACGCGAGCCCGTCCGCCGACGACGTGACTATATCGAGCGCCACGGAGAGCGTCTGCGCGGCCTCGGTAAGAACCCCTTCAAGCGACTCGACATCTGACGGCACGCACGGCACCGCGATCCACGGCGGCTGCGACGGGATTGCAGGACCCGTAGGGCCATTAGGGAGCCGCTCTTTCGCCGCGAGCTTTAAGAGCGACTGTTGCACCTCCTTCTCCTCGACGTCTGATTGGACCAGCACCACCACTTGCAGCTTCCGCTCCGCTCCGCCGCTCCACCCCGCGCCACTCGCTTCCGCCTCCGCCAATCCGCGGCAGACCTCCGCGAGCTTCTGCACCTTGGGCACGGCGCTCTCGAGCGGCTCGCGGCCCGTGATGAGCGCAACGGGGAAGCCCGCCACGCACGCGGAGAGAGAGTCCGCGGAGAGCCCGTGCAGATCGATGCACGGGGGCGAGTAGGTGCGGTCGATGAGGCGGAGGATGTTGGCGAGCGGCGGGAGGCGAATGCTGGAGTCCATAGCCGCACTTGTGTGATCAGAATGCGGTGATTGAAGCTGCTGTGTGATCGGAACGAGCAGGTGAAAGTAGTGCGCGTGAGTTGTGATTCACTTCCCATTCCCGTCATTCGGCTCTTGTAGCTTGTATTGAGTTATCGGTGAGTACAGTGAGGGCGTGATTTCACTACTGTCTAGGTAAACGGCTTTCAAAAAAACCTGGGCGTTGTTTCACTTCGGCTGGGATAACATCCCTGACCTCATCATAAAAAATTTTAAATCTATGTCGACTTCCCTTGTTGGTAAAACGGTCAAATGAACATATTTTTATATGCACCACATTTGAAACAGGACAAGGTCAGTACCTCAGTGCTCTATAGAGATAAAATATCCCATACACGGCAAGCAGTGAAATTCTGCAACTCCCCCTCTGGAACGACTCGTTAGTAGATCTGGTTCGGTAGTCTGATTAGCTTGAATAAAACCAGCCTGCCAAAGAGTAGTAACGGAACAGCGCGAAAGGGATTGTACAGGAGATCGTTACTCGGCCGGCAGGTGGAAGTCAAGCAGTTGAACGATGTAAACCGCAAGCAAGCAATGCGCGCCGTGCACGCATGCGCCTGGTAATCTCTTCCCCCCGCTAATCAATCAATGTCAAGCTGCGCCGCCCAGTCATGCGCCTTTCACACCACACTCCCCGCCGCTGTCGCGTCACCCGCTGCTCTCCGTCTCGCGTAGCTCGTTGCTTCAGTCTCGTCCTCGTCGCAGCATGCCTCGCTGTAAGGTCTACTCCTTCTTCCTCCCCCCGCCGCGCTCGCTAACCCATTGCCCCTGAAACCCCACCTCAAAGCAGCGTCGCGCAGGCGATTCACGGCGCGGCTCGTCCACTCCCTCCCGCCCACCCTCTCCCACTCTCCACTCTCCGCCATGCGCCGATCTCTCCCCGCCCTTCCGCGCGCAGGCATGCAGCGCGCAGCGCGGAGGGGCGCGGCCAGGGTCGATCCTGGCGGGGTTCGAGTATCCGGAGCACGTGTGCGGGGTGGCGTGGCGCGACGAGTACGTGCGCCTGCACGCGCGCATCAGAGCCGCCAGCCGCGACGCGTGGAACGCGCGACAGCCGCCAGGTAGCCTGGGGCGGTGGGGCGGAGCGGGTGACGAATGCGGGTTTAATCTAGTGGGTGACTGTTAGTGTGCGAGAAGCGGAGGAGCACACGCGCGTGGTTGCGCGGACAGGAAGCAGGGGCAGGGCGCAAGCACATGCGGGTGGATGCGCGAGTGTACCTACGCACTGCTCCGCCCTCTTCTCCCCGTTCCCCTGCGCAGATGCCCCGTCTCCCGCGCCTTCGCCAGCGCCTTCGCCAGCGCCAGCACCCGCGCCCGCCGCACCACACGAATCGCCGCCCCTCGCCTCCGCGGCGCCGCCACAGCCCGCCGTCGCGTCGCGCAGGCGCCTGGCGGACCACTATCCCCCCGACGACGGCAATCCCGCGGAGCCTGCAGCGGCGGACGACTCCGCGCCTGACGTGCCGCCCGCGGTGCGCTTTCTAACGTACGACTGGTACGGCACGTGCGGGGGCATCGGCGACTACCTCATCGGGCTCGTCTCCATCTTCCCCGCCGCGCTGCTCGACCGCCGCGCGCTGCTCGTGGCGCAGCCCTGCATGCACGCCGCGTTCCGCTCGCCGCACATCGACACCGCGCTCTCCCCCGACGTGCCCATGGGCGGCCACCCGCTGCTGCGCGCCACGCCCCTCGACGCACTCGTCGCGGGCGCGGGCGCGGGCGCGGGCGACGGCGGCAACAACAAGCGGCGGGTGGAGTGGCACGCGCCGCCGTGCGAGCGGCTGGAGGGGAACCTGAGCGCGGAGGTGAGGGACAGCAGCGCAGTGCCGTGCTTCAACATGGTGGGGCAGAGCTTTGGCATCCAGGACCTGCAGCGACACAGCCAGCTGAGCAACTACCGCATGCGGTACAACCACGGGCTGTTGATTAACACGCTGCTGCTGGACGAGGGGCCCTGGGCTACCGCGCTGAGGCGGCTGGGGTTCAAGATCGCGTATGGCTTCGGGTGTATACTCCGGTTCCTCTTCAGGTGTGTGACTCATGTGCCCTGCGCTGCCCGATACACAACCGCACTCTACCCCTGCCCTGCACCTGTCACCCACACACACACACTTCCACTCTGCTGTGCCATGCGGAACACACCACAGTCGTGTGTGCGTGCTGAGTATCCGAGGCACAGTGTGATTCATTGGTGTCCATCCGTCACCTCAACCCACTGTTATCTCTTCCTCTTCCCTTCGTCTCGTGCATCGCCTCCTTCCCCACCCGCTCTGCCCCTCTCCCTCTCTTTCCATCCCCTCCATCCCAGTCCGCGGCCCGAGGTGTGTCAGCTAGTGACAGGGATAGAGGAGCACGTGTGGAGGAAGGGCGTGGTGCATGTGAGAGTGCGAGGCACAGTGTGATTGGTATCCATCCATCACCCGTCCACCCATTCTTGTCCCTTCCTCTTCCCTTCTTCTCGTTCCATCTCCTCCATCCCAGTCCGCGGCCCAAGGTGTGGCAGCTGGTGGCGGGGTTGAGGAGCAGGAGTGGGGGGAGGCAAGCAATGGTGCGTGGTGAGAGTTCAAGGCGCGGTGTGATTGGTATCATGCGTCCGTCACCGTCCACCCACTCTGCCCCCTCCTCTTCCCTTCTTCGCTTTCATCCCCTCCGTCCGCTCCGTCCCCTCCATCCCAGCCCGCGGCCCGAGGTGTGGCAGCTAGTGGCGGGGATAGAAGAGCAGGTGTGGGGCGAGGGCGTGGTGCGAGTGGCTGTGTGAGTCGCTCTCTCCTCTCCTTCTCTTTCCTCTCTTCCCTCCCCGCCACCCCCAGTCCGCGGCCTGAGGTGTGGCAGCTAGTGGCGGGGATAGAAGAGCAGGTGTGGGGCGAGGGCGTGGTGCGAGTGGCAGTGCACCTGCGCGTGCCAGACCAGACGGTGTGGCACTTCGAGGGCGCACCGCTTGAGACGTCGCAGCAACAACTGGAGGAGCTGCTGGCTGAGGCCAACAGCACGCTGCAGTGCGCTCAGGTGAGGCGAGTGGAGGGAAGAGGGGGGGGAGGAGGGGGGAATAGCACGGTGTGGCACTTCGAGGGCGCACCGCTTGAGACGTCGCAGCAGCAGCTGGAGGAGCTGCTCGCCGAGGCCAACAGCACGCTGCAGTGCGCTCAGGTGAGGCGAGTGGCAGTGCGCTCAGGTGAGGCGAGTGGCAGTGCGCTCAGGTGAGGCGAGTGGCAGTGCGCTCAGGTGAGGCGAGTGGCAGTGCGCTCAGGTGAGGCGAGTGGCAGTGCACCTGCGCGTGGCGGACAAGAGGGTGTGGCATTTCGAGGGCTGCCTCGCAGCAGCAGCTGGAGGAACTCCTTGCTGAGTGCACGTGTGCGGTGCGCCTGTCCTTTGGCATGCCGTGGGCATGGGGTGGTGTGGCAAGGTGTTCACCCTGTGCATTCGTATAAATGTGTGCGTGCGTGCGTGCGTGTGTGTGTGTGTGTGTGTGTGTGTGGGACTGCATGGGTGGGTGTGTGTGTGTGTGCATGGGTGGGTGTGTGTGTGTGTGTGTGTGTGTGTGGGTGTGTGTGTGTGTGTGTGTGTGTGTGTGTGGGTGTGTGTGTGTGTGTGTGTGTGTGCATGTGTGTGTGTGTGTGTGTGTGTGGGTGTGTGTGTGTGTGTGTGTGTGTGTGCATGGGTGTGTGTGTGTGTGTGTGGGCGCGCGCCCGCGCGCGTGTGTGCGTGTGCGTGCGTGTGTGTGTGCATGGGATGGTGGGGATAGAGGGAGTGTGCGGGGGAGAGCACCAATGGTTTCTCAAGCACATGTATTGCTGACCTTCTCTGCATGTGTCTCCCACTCACTGTCTCACTGTGCTCCCATCCCCATTCCGCTCCCCACACCCCTCATGCCATACAGTGGAGGATTTTCTGGGACCCGCCTCCCCTGCAGGTGGTGAGCCAACCTTTTCTAGTCGACTCAACAGTCAACTCGTCTCACTGTGCTCCCACCCCCATTCCGCTTCCCATCCCTCGCCCCACACCCCTCCGTGACAGACAGTGGAGGATTTCTGGTACCCGCCTCCCCTGCAGGTGAAGTGGATTCTCATCACCAACTCGCATCCGCTCAAGCAAGTGCTTAAAGCCAAGTACCCAGATAAGGTATGCATCCACCCACCCCCACCCACGCTCGTTCTACACCCCGTCCCCACCATCCCCTCCACCTGTCTGTCTTCCCGTTTCTCCTTTCCATCGTCTCCCCTCTTCACATGTGTTTCCTTCCGTTCACCCACTCACTTTTCTTGCTCTCTCTTTCCCTGCCTCATTCCTCCCCGTCGCCTCGTGCACCATACCTCTCCCCTGCATGTGCCACATTGCATGCATGCCATGTGTCCCCTTGCATGCCGTGCCATGTGCCGCACTGCATGCATGCCATGTGCGGCACTGAGTGCATGCCATGTGTCGCACTGCATGCATGCCATGTTTCGCACTGCATGCATACCATGTGTCGCACTGCATGCATACCATGTGTCGCACTGCGTGCCATGTGTCGCACTGCATGCATACCATGTGCCGCACTGCATGCATGCCATGTACGGCTGCGGATCTCATGTTACACCGTCAGGTGGTAGCAACGGACTTCGTCCCATGGCACTCCGATCGAGCCACAGAGCACGAGAACACAAACCTCACCTCCTGCCCTCCCTTTCCTCCCCCACATGCCACACCTCCCCCCTGTGCCTGCTGCATTGCGTGAATGGCCGTGCCACGCTGCCAGGTGGTAGCAACGGACTTCGTCCCATGGCACTCAGACCGAGCCACAGAGCACGAGAACACCAATCTCACCTCGGCCGAGGAGCGTGAAGCAGCGCTGCGTGGCCTGCAGCACTTCCGGGAGACAGTGGCGGAGTGGGCGCTCGTGGCGTCCTGCCACACGTTCATCATCCCTGCATCGGGCTTCTCTCGCACGGCTGCGCTCTACGCCCTGCGCCCGCTCGACATGTTCATTCCCCCGCCCGACCCCTGCAACCCCGAGGAGCCCACTCCCATCTCTGCCCTGCGCGGCTCCTGGAGTGGCATCTAGACATCTGTGCATCTGGGCATCTAAGCATCCAAGAATCCGGACATCTGGGGCATTAGGGCATCCAGACATCTGGGCATCCGGGCATCTGGGCATCGGGGCATCGGGGCATCTGGGCATCTAGTCGTCTGGGCATGTTGCGTATGGATGCCCATTGCTGCCCGCTACCCTCCGTGGGCTGCTGGGCCATGGGGCACGTGGGGCTTGGGACGGCATGCAGTGGTGCTCGAGGTAGTGCTGGAGCTTCATTCGGTTTCTGCTCGGCACGGCATCACAAGATTAAAGCAGCAGAAAACCATGTTGGTTGCGTCTGTCATGGTTTGAAAAAAAAGGTTCAGATGCGGCAAATATATACCTATGTACTATGCAGGTTACCTAACTGTATGTATATACCATGATAACAATAACACTGTAAGAGTCTACCAATACAAAATGGGTAGTATTGATTGAGTGGTGGAAGACGGGGTGATCTAATGCTCCAATACCGAGCAAAATGCACAAATCACTGCATTATGAGGACAACCACAACATGAATATTTTTAAAAGCTCCAACACTTTCCAAAAAATTGAATTTTGAAAGCGAAGGTGTTTGTAATGTAGAAAATGGCAGACTCGAACCGTGCTAATCGCCCATTACAAAACGTGGGCTGGAGGTCATTTCCCTCAACCTACGTCTCTCACTTTCAATCAGGCCCTCAGATTGGTTTCAGGGCATGCTGATCGATCAGTGTGCAGTGTCCAAATTGTGTCCACATCAGCGTTGGGGGTTAAATTTATGCTGATTTTTTCAGTGTGAATTTTTAAGGCAAACTGAAACATGAGTCTTTGTAACTGCTATTACATACGGTGCTAGTGACGTAGTTGTTAGGGTATGTCTTGTAATTGCGAAGCTCGGGTTCGATTCTACTAGTTGACGGGAGCTACTTGAGTGTGCCGCGTATTCTTTTTACGTGGGTACACCCCCTGTACACCCATACCCTATCATGTCCGAATCAGTGTGACTCGGTACACTATACTGATTCGTCAGTGTTACTTGTACAGCAACACGCAAAATGGTCAGTGTGGCAAAATAGGTTATACTGAAATTTCAGTGCAAAATTGAAGCATATGCTGAATTTTCAGGGAAAACGAAAATCTGAGCTACAAAATCAGCGTAATCAGCGTGTTTTACGCTGATATCTGAGGGCCTGCTTTCTGTTGGGCTGAGATAAGCCCTTAGGATCTTTTCAGGGATAAACTCTGGGTAAGAACCTTGTAATAGCGGAAGCGTTTAATGAAGAGTTTGTGAACCACCTTGCGCTAGTATGTGAGGGCAAAGTAGATTGATTATAGCAAAGAGATACAAGAATATTTATAATAGTACAAGGAATACGAAACGATACGGTTGTAACTAATTTACTGTTGCTGTTGCGGTTCGATACAGTACGACTCGGGCAACTGCTCTGTAACGAGTCAGTTGTGTGTCCTTAACTGTCGCGCTGTACTTGTCAGGTCAAAGGTCGCTTGACCTTTGACTTTCGCGTAACCTCCAGCAACCTCTCAACCTCCGAGGGTTGACTCGCGCTTGCTTCGGTATTGTTTTCTTCACTTCTGGTGCGATGTTTCGACACTACTGAAGCGCTTAAGTTTCACTGTTTCCAACACTCCCCTTCGCTTCTGGAGTGTCGCTGCTGATGACGTGGCTTTGTCCAGTCAGCAGCATGCAGTACTCGAATTTCTGCTTTCCGAGCTTCTTGGTCAAATAGTCGGCTGCCATCTCGGACGTGGGGCAGTATGACAGCTGAAGTCCCCCTTTCTCGATCTCGTCCTTCACGAAGAAGTAGCGTAGGGCGATGTGTTTCGTCCTGTTCGCGAAGCCGTTCTTGTTGGCGATGCGAATTGCCGACTGGTTGTCGCAGAACAGGGTGAAGTTGGGTAACTCGGCTAACTTCGCTTCTTCCAGCAGCTCGCGAAGATAAAGTCCCTCCTTGGTGGCTGAGCAGAGTGCAATGTATTCTGCTTCAGCTGATGATAGCGCGATTAACTCCTGCTTGCTCGACTGCCAGGAGATAGGACCGATAGGTTCGAGGCGGTAGATGTAGCCGGTGCGTGAGCGCCTGTTGTCGGAGTCGCCGGCGTGATCGGCGTCGACGTAGCCGATCAACTTAGTTGGTGTAGTTGCGTTCTTGTGGTAGGTGAAGCCGATCGTCGGGGTGCTGATGAAGTAGTGAAGAGCGCGGTCGAGCTCCGCTAGGTGTTCTGCTTCGGGCTTCTTGAGGTAGGTGGCGAGTTGGCTTGCGGAATATGAGAGGTCGGGACGGCAGGTGACAGCTGCGAAGAGGAGGCATCCTAGCTTCCTCTGATAGTCGCGTATGCCGGCTGGCTTGAGGAGAGCAGATCCTCCCTTGTTAGTTCCCGTCGTGTAGCGATATGGCGTGGAGATCGTGGCTGGTGTGAGACCGAAGCGCTTGGCGATGGTGTCGGCGTACTTCTCGGCGCTGAGGTAGATTGCGTCCTCTTCTTCTCGGATGTTGAGGCCGAGGTACTGAGTGACGGTAGTTGAGACCGTGAGTGTGAGGTCTTGCTGCAGCTCCCCTTCGAACCAGGTGGTGATGCCGTCAGTTGACCCGATGTAGAGGAGATCGTCCACGTAGACGATTAGCAGGACGTAGTCGTCGTTCTTCGTGAGTCGGTACATGCCTTGGTCGTGCGGGAGTTGCTTGAAGCCGATGCGAATGAGGCGAGCGTGCAGGTACTGTTGCCACAGTCGCGGAGCCTGCTTGATGCCGTAGAGCGACTTGAGTAGCTGACAGACGTGGTTAGGTTCTCCGTTGGAGCCGTGCGGTAGCTCGACGAAGATTTCTGCATCCACAGGTGCGTAAAGAAACGCGTTCGCGACGTCGATTTGCCGCAGCTTCTTCTTCTTCATGGCGGCGATCGCGAGGAGAATTCGGAGCGAGGTGTGGCGGCTGACCGGAGCGAAGGTTTCGGTGAAGTCGCGCCCGTGCTCTTGGTCGAAGCCGCGTACGACCCAGCGTGCTTTGAACTTGTCGATGGTGCCGTCTGCTTTCGTCTTCACTCGGAAGACCCATTTCCCGGTAAGAATTTTCTTGTTTCGTGCTACGCCGATGGGAACGACTTTCCACGTGTTGCGCTCCTCTAATGCCTTCAGTTCCTTGTCCATGGCTTCGCGCCATTTTTCCCTGTGCTCCCCCCCCAGAGCCTGCTGAACCGTCGCAGGCTCCCTAGGAATGTCGGCGCCGTGGACTGCGGTGACGAGTCCAAGGATTTGGAGTCCACTCTGTGTGTAGCGGGGGAGTGTGGTGTCCTCGGGATAGACTGCTTCGTCTCCAGCTTCTGGGTCAGGTGCGAAATTGGGCCCTACACGTTCTGCTTCGTTGGTGTTGACTTGTTCGGGTGTAACGTAACCGTCGTCGGCGAACTTGTAGAAGACTTCGGCGTTGATGCTTTCGCGAGGGTTGTCGTCGTCCATTGGTACGTCTACCCAGCAGTACGGTAGTGGTCCGGCTTCTTCCGAGGCTCCGTCCACGTTCTGCTCTTCCTAGTCAGCTTCGTCTTCCGCCGAAGCGAAGGCTCGTGTTCGAGTGAATCCGCCCGAGGGATCAGGTCTGTTTGCTCTTACGTAGGCGAGGTGAACGTCGAGGGTGAGGTTCTCGTAGAAAAGGACGTCACGTGCTGCGACTGTTTCTTTACTGTTGATGTCGAAGATTTTCCACGCGTTGTAGTGTTTTTCGATGCCCAGGTGTACTCCCCACTGTGCTCGCTGGGAGAATCGACCGGCGCGTGCAGATGGTGGTCGGTACTGTACCATGCACCCGAAAACTCGTAACATTTTTGTGCTGCCCAATTTTCCTGTCCACAGCAGGTGCGGTGATGCGTTGTTCGGGAGCGATGATGACGAGAGCAAGTTGTGCAGCATGACGGCGTGGTCCATTGCTTCGGGCCACTGGTGGTTGGGTAGATGCATGCCACGTAACAGCTTGCGCATGGTGGCTTGGAGTGTCCTGTTCATCCTCTCTGCTACACCTTGCTGTTGATGGGCGTAGGGAAGGGAGATGAGTCTCTTGATTCCCTTCTCTGCCAGGTAGTCCTTGAACCTCTGTGAGGTGTATTCTCCTCCTCCGTCTGACTGAAAGCTTTTTAGTTTCATGCCCGATTCTCTTTCTGCTGCAGGAAGCCAGGCGACGAACGCTTCGAAAGCCATGTCGCGGCTTGGTAGGTTGACGTGCCAGACGTATCTGGTCGCGGCGTCGATGAAGGTAATCGTGTAATTGTAGGCGTTTTGTCCGGGCTCGCGGTTGTACAGGATGTCGCTGTACACCTTTTCGAGTGGTGCGTAAGCTGGTGCGCTTGGATTGTGGTGAGATGGGAACGGTTGATGCGTTAAGTCTGCTTCGGGGCAGGTGAAGCATGTTCCTCGAGCTCGTTGAAGTTCTCTGCCGTCGGTCAGTAGAAGTGAGTCTTTGTCAAGCACTCCTGCTCGTATTGTGTTGTTTAAAACTGTGTGGCTCGGGTGTCCCATTCTTGCGTGCCAGGTTCCCTCGCTGGCGCGGTGTCCGGGTGAGCGGCGGTACATATCGGAGTTGGAGTAGAAGCCAGCGGTAACATTTGCGCTTCGGTGGACTTCTCGTCGTGCCGGGTTGAGCTGCTGCGTGGGTGTTGGTGGCGTGTAGTCGATGAAGGGTGGTGCCGTTGAAGGATCGACGACTGGTGTTGATGTTCCTGCTGCTGCTGTTGTTGTCTCTGCTGCTGCCGATGTTGTTTCTGCTGCTGCCGATGTTGTCTCTGCTGCCGTCGATGTTGTCTCTGCTGCCGCCGATGTTGTTTCTGCTGCCGTCGATGTTGTCTCCGCGGCTGCCGATGTTGTCTCTGCTGCTGCCGATGTTGTTTCTGCTGCCGACCGTTGAATCGTTGCTAACGCTCTTGTTCTCTCTGTTTCAGGAATGGTGTGTGAGTACCAGAAGCCGCCCGGACTGAAGTCTGGATCAAGATCCGGAGGATGT